AACCCCCCCCCCCCCCTCCTCCCCTCCCACTCACTTACCTTGATAGCCCAGGAAGTACAGTGAGTGTTTTGGCTTGCCACCAATAACACCCATACAATTGTGCTGACTCAGCAGTTTCTTCACACAGGGAACATAGATGTCGTTGAGCATTTCCCCTCCAAGACGCATGGGGACCAGAATAATGAGTGAGCGCTGCCACGATGCATCCCTGCGTGGGTGAAGCTGTGGGGGGAAAAAAACAAACCACACAAAGCTCAAGAAAAAGAAGAGAAGTCATAGCAGCATGACGACTTATGTGTAGAAAGAAAGATGTGATCAAGGAAATAAGGATGACTTTAAAAATGTTTCATTTCAGCACAATGTTAGATTTACAGAGATCAGAAAAATGAAGATCTTGCAGAAAATGCTTGTGGCCGGCAAAAATGAAATATACAACCGCTGTTTATGAGGTTAGACCTTTCTTATCTGAGATTTCCCTCAAAGAGTTCTGATGCTTGAGAGGTTAAAAACAAAAGAAAATTGATATTCGCAAAATTGAAATTCACAAAAGTCAATATAGATCTAGATTTTGTTTTAATTTGAAGTTTGTCTTAATCAGGGTCAAACTGGAGATTGAGTGAGATATAACACCCAGGCAGAAAGACAGATTCTCGGCAAAAGAAAGTACCCTTTACAAGAATTAAAATATCTCTTCCATGTGCAAGGTGAAGAGTCTCACCACTACACCATAGACACTGGTGGGGAAACTCACATCATACATACAAAAAGCAAGAGTGAAGGAAATGTCAAGTAAAAGGTCTTTCCCATTTATTGCTCTTTTACACCCATTCAAAAGAATAAAATATGAAAAGAATTCGATATCTGGGTTTTACTACAGCCCAAGGGTTGCACCATTGACCTTTGTCTCAGTTTTTTTGTTCCTTATTGATGATTTCACTAGAGTATGAAGTTGTAATGAGGGTCATAGCACAATCATGAACATAATAATTTGGTTCATGTGGTGCATAACATGAAAGAGAGATTTGCATCATCAAAATCACAGGATCATGCTCTAAAATAGAGCCCTTTCTACCCCCTCCCATCTTAAAACACCTCCCAAAACAACCTATGTTCAAGAATTATAATACTTATTTGGGTATTTTTAACTTTATTTCACCAAACAAGACAGTTCCCCAACACGCGGATTAATGTGCTGACATTTACAGCGCACCCACTTGACTTACAGAGCTACACTGTGCACCAGCGACCTCCTCACTACTGTCAGGGTCTGGTCCTGTGTCAAATGAACTGCCCATACTTCCTGACTTGCTGCGTGCTGTACATAGATCTAGGACATCATCCACGTACACTGAAACAACAGCACAAACAATACAGCAGTGAATGGAAGGAGGCTGGAGCAAAGTACAGCCACATTTTCTTCCAACAGAAAGTGCATGTCGACACCTCCGCTATCTGTGTCCTATTCAAACATCTGGCCACAAAGTTTCCATCAGTAAGCAGACCTGCCAACTCTTCAATGACCAAAACAAGGAAAATTTGTCAGCATCAAAAAAAAAAAAAAAAAAAGGGGGGGGGGTGTAACAAATAATAACCTTCTCCATAGTTTTCAAAACAATTTGATACTCCAGCTGTATCTCATAAATGTGCATCTCCATGTCGTTAAAAATCAAACACTATGGTCCAGCAACGGTTTGAGGATAAATTGGGTTTTCTGCAAACCAGACAAATGTCTGATTTTATTTGTAGGTACTCTGAAAGTCAGAGCTACGAGCTTCTACTTTCTGTAACCATATATCGGCAAGTGAAGCACATCTCAGCCAATAGTCAGGATACTGAACCAAAGACAGGCTTGATAAAGAGGGAGGGTCTTTTAGGTCTCTCTTTGATGAATGAGACTAAGCACTGTAAATATTTCACACTGGTAGCGACTTAATCTACAAGAAAAGGCAGTTTTAATCCTGCCTGTCTGGGCCAGCCTAGATCATGTGAAACACTACACCCCAGAAAAAAGATGGAGATAATCTGTGAAGTAACGACACTATTTAGAAATAAAATTCAGGTCATCTTGTTGCAATAACAAAGAGCCCAACCAGTACACCAAAGATGCAGAAGAAAATAAAAAAAAGATGGAGGCAAACATTACAGCTAAGTAGATATTGTACATTTGATTCTGACTATAAATGTTCATAGGTGTCATTCTGCCATTAGAGCGATTGACACAGCTGGTGAGCATTGGATCTGTTTATTTTATTCCTGTCCCCACTAGTGGTACTGGAGTGAGGGTGTTTCCATATCATCCTGTGGGAAACTAGACCCCGCTGCATTTATACCCCTTGTCCTACATTTATACCCCTTGTCCTACATTTATACCCCTTGTCCTACATTTATAACCCTGTTGTTTATCAGAGTAGCATTTTAGACAAGCAAACAATTCAAATCATACAATGTACAAATTGATATAACTTAGTTTTTGAACTCACAACCAGATAACGTGATACATTTTTGTATGCAATAATACAGATCATGGAAATATTTCTCTTATCAGTTATGCAACCTAGCAAAAACATGATGCACCCATTCTTACCTAATGTATGAAATTTGCTTTCATGTGCAATTTTCTCAGTTTTACTTCTCAAAACTACTCTGGCAAAGAAGTTTGATATTGCATCTGAGAAATGAGTTATTTTTAATAGCAAACCCAATATTCTGATATTCTACGTTATTAACATTCTTTTCAAGATTTCAAGAGGTTCAGGATATTCCTTCTGTGTGGAGACACCTTTTTTTGTTTGACATAAGTCACGGGCACAACTTGTGACAAATAAGAACTTTTTCATTTGTACTCTGTGCATGCATGTTTAGACAAGGGTACAGAGATTGCGCACTGCTAACAGAAATCATTCCTTTAAAAAATCAACAAAATAAGGCTGTATATACACATCCGCCCCAAACAGTTTGCAGTGACGAGGTAATCATGGCAGTTGATAAGATAATACACAGTAAGGAAGGGAACCCTTGGAGCTCTGACGACAGCATTCTGTCACTTGACTTGAGAGTCTCGTCCCCATTAGGTTATCTCAACTGACCTCATGTATGGCCAAATACAACATGGGTAAAAAGAAAAAAACCCAACACACAATGCTGACAATTTCACAACTCTTTTAAAACAGGCCAATGCCTTCCTATAGTCGGGTCAAAGCTTTCCCTTCCTTTAATTGGAAATTAACTTTAAAGTTAATTTCCACACACTTTGGATAGCAAATCTGAATTACTGTGTATAACTAAATCTATATGAGAGGCAGCCGGGTGAAATCAGGCGCTCGTCAAAATAATGAAAGCTAAGAAACTTACACTTTTCCGCTGGATTGGCATATTTTATTGAAATTGTGTTTTTTAACTCAACACCTTCTATGTCCATTTAAGAACCCATTTAAGTGTGAATTGTATGGAAAAACATTGATTGAAGTTATAAAAATGTAAATTGTCAGTTTTCATGGACTTTGAGGCTTTGTAAATAAGCATTTTCTCACTAATTTTACCTCTGAAACCAGGTGACCCCACCTCATTCAGTCGCAAATATCTCGACAGGTATTCAAGATAAAAGAGTAATTCTTTCATTGAAAGCAAGGCAAATGACCAAGCTGTAAGGTGATACCAATAACTCCACATGCCCAAAAATTGATGAGCGCCTGATTCCACCGAGTCGTGACACATAAACCAAAAATTAAGAGACTACTAAACAAGAATTTGAATCTGAGTTGACACACCACAGTACGAAGCGCCGTAAGCGACAACTGTACTAGGGAACACAAAAATAACAATTTGTAAACACATCAAAGCCAATCAAATGTCAATGCCAAAACAACTTTTCTGAATTGCTGGCCAAGTACAGCCAAACCTGCTGTAACAGCCACCTGTCCAGAACATATAGCTATACAAGTGACACTTCTTGCTTCCTACTTGTGTTTCTTTTATATTTCAACCACACTGTTCAAACCATGCATCTGAGATAATCACTTTCTACTCGACAACAGGCTGCCGCCATAGACAGTTTTGACTGTATCTGGATGCCTAGCATATAGCTAGCATCTGCGTTTGTCGCGGCCGCGACTTTTGGCATATTTTGTTCTGCGAATCGCGGCCGCGATTTTTGCATAAGTTTTCAAAAAAGACAAAACAACAAAGCTACTTCATAACATATTAGACATGTATTTTGATAAGTTTTAAGATGTCCCTGTGTAACTATTTTCATGCGGAGAATATAAGTACATTACATTACATACTGTTCATATTGCTGTCTGTCTTTTATTTTCCCTCTTTGTTGTGTTTTAATTTGTTGGTGAGTTAATTTTTCTAAAAATTGTTCTGATGATTCATTTTTCTTTTTTTTGCGTGTTTACAGCGTAATGTCATTTAATTTAATGCTGTTTCCACCCTTTAAAAAATATAAATGTGTTATGTTAGAGCGTGTCTCCTCCAAAACCGAATACTGACACTGGCACGCCCCAATTGTGTGTGTGGTTCCATAATATAATTTACATGTGGTATCATGCAAGCCTACTTTTTCTTGAATTACACACGTTTGGGGTTAAAACAGCCAATCTTCAGATAGGTGGACACGCGCCCTAATTAGTTAATTTTTGTGGTTATTTATACGTGCTGTTCTAATTTTGATTTCATTCTATTGTGAAACCTTTATTTTCAACGTTTTTACCCTCTTGGTGACTATAAATGATGTTCTGGATGCTCAAAACAGAGCACAAGAAATTCTGGTCTACAGATTGTTACCTCTATCAACATATTGCTTTATTACATCGTTACAGAGAGTTGAAAGCTTGAAAATTAATGGCAACTTTTGCCACTTTTTGTGGCAACTTTTTGACAAAAAAATGGCAACAAACGCAGATGCTAGATATAGGGTTAACATATTAAAAGGAAATATTGAATTGTCTGAATGGTTAGTAGCTGTGGAAATGAGCATTAGCTGACCGGACTGATTTACATAGAAAGGGTCTAGTTGATGAGGCAGACAGTTTGACCCCCAGGTGCTGATGGTACATCCTGAGTTGACACCATTCTTGCGAGGTGGCGACAATGTGAGACTTACAGCACTACTGTATCAAGAATGGAAATGAGAAATACACGAGCAAGAGAGGACCACAGCAGCCTTTAGTGTGGTGAGAGAATACGTACCTGTGCAGTCCTGAGCCACATAGAGACACAGCTGACTGAGAATGGGTAAGGACTGGCTCGCCTTTTCAAAGGCATCCCTGTCAGACAGATCAAACGTGGCTCATTATTATCATTATAATCAATATCATACCAAGCCTCATCTCACATTCTAGAATGCATTGCTAGAACTAAAATCATCAACACCTAATCTTAGAGGCTAACTCTGAAAAATTCTGAGTGCCATCTGACCTTCAATTTCTTCTCATTCTGAATCTTCTTTTTTTTTAAAGCTCCAATCAGCACAAGTTCTTGTATCAACTCTTGCTTACACTGATTAAAGGTAGCTTTTGATTAGAGAAAAGTAGTTGATGTTATAGACTTACCAACAAAGTCTTGACCATCTTCATGAAGTTAAAACTTTGTTTACTATTTATATTCCACTGTATTTAATTATTTCACACTACAGAGTAAACCAAAATATATCACAAGGAACTAAATAAATAGATAAACATTGTTATCACAACACAAAATGACATGTTTGATAGAATAATATTATATCGACTTAAGATTAAAAATCTTTCCAGGGATGGGGATGGAGAATTTGGTCTTTCTTAAGTCACTCCTTACAGAGTGAACTGCAGTATGGGTAAAGTCACCAAAATGTGAGACTTACCTGAAGATGAATGCGACAGAAGCCGGGCCGTACCACTCGCCGGGTTCTTTCTTGTGCTGTCGGCCAAAGTTTGCCAGGTTGTGCAGGCAGAATGGAGTCTTGTCAGACGGTGCGCCATCAACAGGCTCTGAGAACCAGCGAATGATCTCTCGGTGGTAGGCCTGTTCCTCCCTTGTTTGCTGATTGTGGAGACGCCAATCTGCACATGTGTGAGCGGGGGCGGGGCAAAAAGGGAGAATGAGTATCTTGGCAGTGTATTGGAGTGTCGCAACATGCTTGAGTGTAAAACACTTCGTTGTGAGGTTGTTTTTTTAGTAGTATAGGGTTTTACGGCGCTCGCAACTGCATAAGGTCATATGAGCGTGTTTGTGAGTTTTTGTGATATATCCTATACAAACAATTGGTAGCATCCTAAAGCACAATGCACACACACATTTCAAAGCTTCTACCTTCATTCCTATAAAGCAAGTCACTCTGCTGTATACAAAAACTTGTTTGATACATCCAATATCTTGACAGTTTAAATCTACTTCATCTTCCAATTTACCTTGATACAATACACCATGTATTCGACGTGCCTGAAGACTTTCAACTCATTAATGAAGCTAATTTTGCACTGTAAAGCACACTTACGAACATTTTTGGTCCTAATATTTTTTTATGACAAGGAAGAGTTATTACTAGTGTCATGGTACACTGAAAAGATTGAAGACACCATTTTAAACAGAGGCAAACTTGCAAAGTCAGAAGTATTTTACATTAACAACTATTACATACTTACAACAAAGTGCTACACTCTCAACAACTCTGCTGTGTCAACTTTCATTCACAGTAGTATGTTGTATCTTCTTTTTTGTTGGTCATTTCTCTCTATCATCTATTGCTTTTTTTCTAAATACATCCCTCTTATTTGGTTGATGTTTTATAGAATAAACCCGAATAAGTCTGTAGTACTCACCAGGCCCTAGGAAGTGAGTGACAAGACATTGGGCAACCAGCATTTGACCGCTCCGCAGCATGCAGCCCCAGCCACAGTCACTGCTGAGTCGTGTGCCAGGGATAGGGTAGAAGTTGCTGCGGTAGGTGAGCCACACACGGCTGCAAAAGTGCTTGAGGAACTCATGCTCCTCGGTGCTTTCCTGGGAATCTTCTGCAGCGAGATGAGATGCATAGACAATAGAAAAAAACTAACACACAGATACTGTCTAAGTAGCGATTTGGGATAAAAACAGACATGGACAGCTGTAAAAAGAAACACGCAAAATACTGTCTCTGATAGATAACTGTTGTATGTAAACCTATGCCGATGATTAAATTAGTTAAAGAAATTTTAAAGTTACTCAGAGTGAAAGTCCAACAAAAAAAAAATTTCTGTGCATGTGTTTGAACAGAAAGTTCCAGGGAGTTGTTTTTCTTAATTTGAGAAATAAAAAAGACTTTCCACTTCCAAGACCTTGGGTTCTGAACCAAGAGCAGCAGCAGAGACAAAGAGAGGCATTTACAAGCAGTCTATGTTAAGGAAAACAGCACAGTCTGTCATGTTCATGTTCTAGTGACCTTGGGCATAGTATTGTTACTGTTAGCAACTTTGGGAAACAAAAGAGACAACTACAATATTCCACACACAGAGAGCGCCAACTAAAACAAAACAAAAACCACGCAAAGTAAACTGAATTGTTGCCTGCGACCTACCCTCTCGTCTCTTGTGGTAAATCCTGCCCAACAAGTACAGCGGAGTGTCATATTTCATGGAGGACTTGGTCTTCAGGGTCCATCCTGTTCATGTAAACAGGAAAAAACTTCTATAAACATCAACAAAATTTAGAATTACACGTACTTCCTTTAAGCCATGGATACATTGGTAATACGCGTTATTTTCCTAACCATGTACAATTATAAGTTACATCAATAAAATCAATATTTTCTGAGAAATTCGGATGTTTGATGGTCACTTTGGGACTCTGATGTGCGTAACTACACTGACCGGAAATCTCCACAACTGACTATTTGAACAAAGCCCATTTGTGTGAAATTTGATGTGATACGTCATCATAGATATGAACATCTAATGGCCTGATTCAAACAGCTCTCTTTTACAACTTTTCTTTTGAAGCATCACTGTTGAGATACAGTGGAACTTTGATTCAACAAACTAGGACTCAACGAAAACTCGGATTCAACTAAAGGAGATGGATTCCCTGTTTATTTTATTCATTAAAATTCATCAAAATAACTTGGTTTCAACAGACACATAAATGAGCAAGCTCGGATTCAACGAAGTCGCTTGCAAGGTGCATAGCATCCGCAGACGTGGCTTCGCTCGTTTTTCTCACGCAACAATTTATGTTCCTGGAAACCATCCATGGCATCTGCATTGTGAACCATTATTCTCTTAGACCCTAGCCTATTGCCTATATCTTTTGCGACCAATCAGCGGCCTTCTTTCATACGAAAACACGTAGTTGGCACACACACTTGTTTTAGCATGTGTAGGGGGCAGGCAGCCAGCACAATTGGGACGTGTGACTGTGTGTGTGTGTGTGTGTGTGTGTGTGTGAATGGCAGGGGTGGGGGCACAAGCGGTCAGGGTGCGGAACGTCAGTAGAGATACAAAGATGTCACAGTACTCAGGGCCATTTTTTTGCCCGCCAGCTACTGACCAATATTACAATGATAAGCTAGTCTTAACATAGAACTACGCAGATCTAAAGAATAACACTATGGTCAGTGGATCAAATGTTCCAGCAAGCTAGGCTATACACAGCAACACAGCTTGTTATGCAAACAATATGTCACAGTAATTCATAGATGACACAGGCACGCATTTGAACTAATCGGGCCTTTCGCACAGAATGAGCTTGGTAGAGTTCAGTGTATTTTCCAAAAATTTTCCAGCATTTCTTCGGTACAGTATCAAAGAAATGAAAATGCCTCTCATTTGAAGCCAAACTACTTTCGATTGCGGAAGTTGAATACATTATTATACGTTGCTTGCTCGATACTCGAATTCTCTAAACATGTTTGTCATAACGTACACTCGGATTCAGCGAAATGGAAGGTTGGGCCCAACGACTTTGTTGAATCTGAATTACACTGTACCAATATATATGTATGTTTTTCTATGTATATTAAGTTGTATACTGGGTATCCCTGTCTTTCTGCAGAAACATTGTGTATCCTTCTAAGCCTGGGTTGGCACTGACAGGCAGGGTCAAAGAAATCTACCTTCTATTATTTATAGGAGTGTAAAACTTATTTAATTATAATGTTTTTTATGGAATAGCCCCTCAGTCTTCTTTCCACTTCCTGGGTCAAAGTCTACTTGAAAATTAAATGCAGGTGTGCCGGCTACTCAAGCATTCCGTCCTGCGAAACAGAGCAAAAATATCGGAAAAACTAAAATGAAGCATTGTAACGTCAAAATTATAATGGTGTTCACTTAACAGCAACCCAGATTTAGTGCATTATCTGACTAATAGCAACGTAAGTTTGTGTAATAGGATTTTTCTAGTATAAATAACCTATTTTAATAGCATTCGTTTCCTTTAATGCAGCAAACTTTGTAGCTAAAAATTGTCAGAAAATATTGTTTGGAATATTCAAAAACTGACACTGGCCTATAATTTCAGTGTGAATGCAACCTCCTCTCTTGCTTATCTCCTCAAACTCAAAACAACTGTCCTGGCCAAAAGCTACACTCAGGGTTGGGTTGATTTAAATCAGTTGATTTTTTAAAATTTAAATCAACTTGATTTTTAAAATAAAAATCAGTGATTTAAATCACTTTAAAAAAAAATTATATTTATTCGGTTTTTACACATTTCAACATTCAGAATTCCTTTCCTTGGTTTCATAAAAAAGATATAAGGTTCAGTAGACTAATATAATCATGCTTAAAAGTCTGATTTCCCCCCTTTCACTGTAAAATAATACAGTATTCAATTTACTTTTTTTTCCATAAATGAAATCAAAGCTGGGTTGATTTAAATCAGTTGATTTTAAAATTTTTTTAATCAATTTGATTTTAAAAATAAAAATCAGAGATTTAAATCACTTTTCAAAAAAATGTATTCAGTTTTTGCATATTCAAACTTTCAGAATTCCTTTCCTTGGTTTTATTTTAAACGGATATAAGGTTTAGTAGACTAATATAATCATGCTTAAAAGTCTGCTTTCCCCCCTGTCACTAAAATAATACAGTTCTCAATTTACTTTTTTTTCATAATTGAAAACCAAGGTTGGGTTGATTTAAATCGGGTCGATTTAAATCAGTTGATTTTTTTATATTTAAATCAACTTGATTTTAAAAATAAAACTCAGTGATTTAAATCACTTTAAAAAAATGTTTTCTGTTTTTACATCTTTAAACATTCAGAATTCCTTTCCTTGGTTTTATAAAACAGATATAAGGTTTAGTAGACTAAAATTGCTTAAAAGTCTGCTTTCCCCCCCTGTCACTGTAAGTAGTAAAATAATACAGTATTCAATTTACTTTTTTTCATAATTGAAATTAGCATTTTCTTTTTCTTTTTAGACAAACACAAGCGCGTGCTCACACACACACTGTAATACAAATAAAATGCAAGTGCATCTATGCATAATTACCCCCCCCCCCCCCTTCCTTTTAGACTGACATTTTCTTCATTTTTTGTCTGTAGCCATAATTCACTGATATAGCAGATTAAGGCTTTTTAAAATTGCAGTTGCTTAAATTAATCATTAGTTAAAATAAAGACAATGCATTTTGCACTAAAAGAACATACTTTTAGCCACCAAAAATCCCAAACTGTGTCGACATTTAAAAAAAAAAAAAAAAAAAAAAATCCGATTTAAATAAAAAAAATCTGATTTAAATTTAAAAAATCGATTTTTTTAATTAAAATTTTTTTAAATTTTAAAATCACCAACCCTGGCTACACTGAGTATAACAGGAACTTAGTTACCACCCTTTCGCCAAGAGCCACCTTCCTTCAAGAGTCTTAGGGGAACAGTCTCGGCCACAGCGTAATAATATTACTGGAGATTCTCGAACACAGCCTTCGTTCTCATTTACTGACATAACATCACAACGTTCGGCGATTACGACATTATATCATTATTTAACAATTTGTTCAACAAACAGTCAAAGACAACAGATTTGAAATCAAAATATTTCATGTTATATTCGTACCTCTTAGACAGGTATTGTCTTAGGCAGGACTGATCAAAATGAAGAAAATAAACCATTCCCCTCTGAGGTTCCAACCTGAGGCAGCTACAGGATTAAAAGCATTTAACACGAGCCCCACACTTCCGGGTTGTCAGCTCTGCCCAGAGATTTTTACCACTTTTTTACCCAAATTTGCATAATTTGGTTCAAATTTTATTCAAACCTTTAGTTGAGTGTATATATTGACAATTTTAATGCAAAATATGTCAATAGTTTTATGCAATGTGGAAAAAGGTCTAAATACAGAGTCAAAAAGTAAACAAAAGTGAAGAAAGGAAGTGTGTTCAAACTTTGCACCCCTCACATGGTTAATGAATATATATATAGCTGTTTTTGTTCTAACTTTGGGATAGCACTTCTGGTCAGTCTGTCTCAAACGAAAAATGGTTATTCTTCCAATTAGGCTAGTCTGCTTCACACAAAAGTAGTGTTTTCGGTCATGAGAGCGAAACTTTTCATACCAATACCGTCGGCGTTAGTGTTGAAGCATAGCGCCCATATACCGATACTATCGGTGTTAGGGCTGGGTGAGTTAAAGGACTGCCATAAGGTATGGACATTAAAACGTTACCGACTGGTCAGCTTGAGCAACGGTGGGAGGAACCAAATACCTTGCCATCAGAAGAAAGCTTGTCAGTGATTGGTTCAATCATAGGACAGGCTAACAAGAATTACAAGAAAATAAATTATGATGGCTTTTCCACAGTGCCAGGGCCAGTATAAAATTAATGGTAATGTGTCACGCAATGACAGACCAGCGAGGGCCATCTTGGACAACTTTTTTTGGTAGTTGATTAATAAAATACGGTGACAATGTCCGAAATAGACAGGTCATCTTTTTAGGCAGTGTTATTATCATATAGTAAGTAACAAAAAATGCAAGGGAGGAATGGAAAGTGGCAGTTTGTATAGGTGGTGGTTGTCTTATAGATAAACAGTAGGTGGCTGTCTCGGCAGGTTCGACAGTCTGACATAGAGTAAAGGCACTATGTGACTATTTGCGGCCAGTCGAACTATGTGGCCACTTTCCTTATAAAGTAAATAACTCAGGTCTTGTTTCATTTTCCAAACGGAAACCAAGCTCACTTGATGCACTGGCATGAATCACATGTTCACAACAAAAATGGTCTCAATAGGCAACAAAGTTTGAGAGTTTAAGAATTTGGTCGACCAAAATATCCCAAAGTGAAAATTGGACAGGTCACTTGTCCATGGTCATTACAAAGCTTTCTTATCATATTTTTATTTGATTATAGGTTCATGTGTTGAAGTAATGAATAAATATCATGTGTGTAAATGTCTTAACATAAAGAAAACAACAAAGGTGACCCAGGGACGGGGTGGTTGCATAGATATTCCCTTATTTTTTAAAAGGGACTTCTTGTGATCTGCACATCCACAGAGAAGGCCCACTCCATAAGAGAAGGGGCATTTTTGTGATCAGTTGCTAACAGTGCCGATTTAATTTTAACAGCAATTTAGCTTACATAAATGCATTCAGAAAGCCTGGTTTGTAGTTCTTGACTTCAAAGTGATAAATCAATCAAGACTGACTCCATCAGATTCGGAGCAGTCTGAAGAAACTGCTCTGTCACTTGTACCTCTTGACAGGGTGACTGCCAGGCCCCGAGAATTCGAAAAGAATCGCTGAGACCCAGGAATGCCCTAGGAATTTGAGGAAATCTGTAAATTGTACAGAGAAAGACCTGGGAAAATACAGAGTTCTCGAATATTTGAAAACCAAATCCGATAACTATAAGGTCAACAAGTTCATTTTTGCCGGTCGCGATTAAGTTATTCATTCGGCTTTTCCCAGTCTGATAACGCAACATTTGTGACACACATTATAAACACAGTGTTTGTTTGAAAATAAATCATAGATTATATTTGTGACTGTGCTGTCACTTGTGAAAAAAAGAAAATCAAACATAGTCTGATTTTCAGCTTGTCGGGCTCGCCAACATGACAGGTCAGAGAACCTGCGCATGTTCACATCACATGTCATCATGTGAGTAGGTCCTACTTGCGGATTTCTAAGTCTGAGCATTACAGAGTATACGACTCGGGAGTGGAAAAGGGGGGGGGGGGGG